TGGGGGGCCCCCGTCCCCCCCTGAGGGGGGGACCAAAATTTTGACCCCCTCAAAAGATGGTCCCCTTTGAGGTAGGAGCATTGCCAAAGTTTCATTTCCCTGGGTCAATTCGTTCAAAAGTTAGAGGGGGGGTCGGGGACTTTTCGCTCACCCTGTATAATGCTGAAGTGAAATGAACTCTGATTATTGATCAGGGTGTCTACAACTGCGGTATTTCCAGAAAGTCTAGGAAAAGTACTGATTTTTTAAAGGCGATCCGGAAGTACTGAAAACGTGCAGAAATTCCTCAAAAAGGTCCAGATTTTTTTTCATTGTTAGTTATTTTGGTCGCAATTTGAGCGAGAAATTCAAATGTTTGAAATTTTTCGAATTTCGTTAATTGGCGGTACTGTAAAAGTACTGAATTTTTCGGTTGGAGAGGTACTGAATTTCTTGGGTATGTGCTGAAAAAGTACTAATTTTTGGGCAGCCTGGTTTAGTAGACACCCTGTTGATGCAAGTCTTGGTCTCACCTTTGTCTGTCCTTGAGTAATGTAAGATACCAGTGCCCCCATATCACAAATACCAGGCTCTCCGACAGGACCAGGTGGTCCAGGAGTTCCAGGGGCTCCGGGTAACCCACGCCGTCCCTCCAGACCTGGCTGACCAGGCAATCCCTGTGGTCCTAGGGCTCCTTGTTCACCGTTCTTGCCTGGATGACCTTTGATTTTAAAAAGAATACTATGAAACTGGACTAGAAAGTAGTAGGTCGATGGACCAGTGTGCAAGGTACAAATTTAAGCATTCTGATGCATGTTTCTTAACCAGACTTTTTTGTAGAACACGATTTGCACAATGAAAATCACAAAACTCAACTCCTAACTGGGATATCAATGTTTTTATTTTACATTGGCTACAGGATATTTAAATTCCCTGCTTACAAAGAAAACAATACTAAATGTCAGTCAAATCGCGCACTACAGCAATTTCGGCAAGCTTCTCAATCGAGTATCCTTTTCCATTCTGTTATTCAAAGTGTAAACTACTTGCTTTAGCTGAGCCGAAGCTTCAAGATTGAGATTGTCATATGTCCATATCGCCTAGACTGTCATGGTAATTTTTAGTGTGCGATTCAACTCAAGTAGATAATTGTTTTTTCCCTTGAGCAGAAAATTTGAATTTATGCATTTAAAAACTTTATTATCTTGGTAAGGAGTTGATTTCAGTAATTTTTGTTGTGCGAATCGTGTTCTAGGTATAATTTTGGTCAGAAATATGGATCAGAATATTTGTACCTTGTCCACCGGTCTATTATCAAATTTCATGTTAGATGTAAGCATGCATGTTTAGCCTCAATTAACTCAGGGATGGAAAGTGAGCCAACTCAACAAAATCATTTAAAACGATTGAACTAAGTTCACAGTGATTTCTCCGAATTTTTTCCGAACATCCTCGTAAAATATTGGCCGTATCATTTTACTATAAATAGACCAGTGAATGCATTACCTCTAGGTCCTTGGTCTCCTCTCTCTCCTGGTTTGCCAGGCAGGCCCGGTTGACCAGTATCACCTTTCTCCCCGCGTAAACCCTGAAAATAAACGGAGCTACCATCAGTATTAAAGATACCGATGGATAAAATTAAAGATCGAGGCAACGGAACTTTAAAATGATGCATTAAAGTTTCTGAGATATGTTGGAATGGACCATCTCAAAGCATCTCTCAGCCTATAGTCCAAATTTTTAGTTTTCTGATTATTTTAGGTTATGATGGACCGAGTAAATTATATGGTAATAACATGGCAAAGTAGGGGCCAGATTCAGAAGACGGGAGAAAATCACAAATTGTAATGAAAAAAGAAATGAAGCTTTTAAATTAAACTGCATTCAGCAGAAAGAAACCAAGCCACATCAGCTACTGTCTTTAATTCAACAATATAATTTTTTACAAGACACCGTTTGTGCAGGTTCCTTCGAAAATTTTAAGGTATTTACTTCTTAGTATGCAGAAATTCACTAAAATTTGCAACAAAATCTGCACACCGTTTTTATGTAGAAAATTAAATTGCACAATTAAATTTGGCTATAGCTGATGTGACTAGGTTCTTTTCTGTTCAACACAGTCCAATTGTGAATTGTAAGTCTCTCAAGATAGGTGATTTTTGAAGTTGAAATACATAATCCAGAGAAGTAGTTGAAACTCTTTAAAGACAGAAAAAAAAGTGGAAAAATTCTTAAATTTTCCCTGTATATTTCCTGCATGAACAGAAATGAGGTAGTGCCTCACAAAGTTCTTTTAATGTAATGAAACTTACAATTAGTATCATGAGTGAACACATACCTGTGAGCCGGGCAAACCTTGAGGTCCTATGAGGCCTCTGTGACCTTTCTCTCCTGGAAGACCTAAATCTCCTTTGTCGCCTTTTATACCTTGGGTTCCCGGGAGTCCTTGGTGTCCTTTTGGCCCCTGAAATGAAAGATTCAGCAATATATTTGAAGCGTCTTTTGAAGGACTTTCAAATTTTGTACATAACATATTTTTAAATTGCAGAATGGTAGAAAATGTTTTACATCTCTCAGCAAAATTATTAATTTTAGTTGTTCAGCTGTAACGATTTTTTGAAGGACATTCTTCAGAAAAAATAGTTTTGTGTTGAAACAAAAGTTTACTATATGGAAACCCACAAAATCCTATCTAGTATACCACTGCGCTAAGGTAAAATGTTGTAGGAACATTCACATGCTATCAAATTCACTCTCCAAAAATATTTATCTTTGAAGAAAGTTGTTAACATTTTTTCGTTGAAACTTTCGGACACTCTAGATCAAATTATGAACATAATTCTCTGCAAAGGGTATCCCGGGATAAGCATGTCAAAATGCCCTTGTGAATGGATTTTTATTTTAA